CAAAAATAAAGCAAGAAAATAAACACTTTGGCTGAAGTAGAAAATGTTATGGGAACAATGTCCAAGTCTGACTGGACCGACATAATACGGAAACAATCAAATTAACAGGTTGGGGTCGACCGTGTGTGGCTAAACTGCTCAAGTTCAATTCAAAGTTTAAGTCCCAACTTGAACACACCGAGTGGTGAAAATGCTAATGCGGAAGGAGGCCAGAGAGAGCCAAAGGGGTGGTCTGAGAGCAAAAAGCCCACTTGTACACCGTTCACCCTGTGGCTGGATTTGGAACCCAGCTCTCCTGGCCTTCAGACAACATTTCATGGATACAACAGCATGCTTACTTCTGACCTCAAGCGCTTACAATAAAAAAAAAAAAAAAAAAATCACTGAGATAATCTGCAGCTGGTTTAACAGTTTCAATACTATTAACAAAGTGATATTTTTCAAACAAGGCCCTTTGTATTGGTCAATGCAATCAGGCTTAGATTAGGCTTCCAGGAAATCCCTTCCTGGCACACTCTCGCATTCCCCACCGTGGCAGCTTGAAAACTTTTCTTTCCCTCCTGTCTCAGAGGAATAATTGTTCCTTCGCCTTTCCAAAACTGCCCTACAAACTGGCTTTCGCCCCATCCCCCTCTGTGTTCCCCAGGATCCTGCTTCAGAGAGATCCCTTCTCTCTCTTGCTTCCTCTCCCCTCCCACAAATACATTCATTCACCTTTCTCAGCTTCCAAGCGAAACACAGGTTTTGTTTGGACTTCTTTATTATACATCAGGGTTACTTAAGTAACTTAACTACCTTAACCCACCTGGGATCGATGGGCTTCAGAGGGGGCTGAAACCCTAACATTTTATGTAAAGGTTTGTACATAAGTGCATTCTTCAGGGGATGAGAAGCTATAATTTTTATCATATTATCAAAGGAATCCATAGCTCCAAACAGATTAAGAACCACGACTTCAAATCTACATCTCTAGACCCTTTTCTGAGGAGCAAACCTGAAATCGCTGCTGTCAATTGTCAAAAAGCCACAACAGTGCTAACAGCCACACAAACAAAACAGAGCTCCCCACTCCTCCCTCCTTGCCCTGTCTTCCACCTGTCTCCTCGAACAAAATCCTTTTCTGACCTCCCTGCTCTGTCAACGGCACCCCACCCTCCTCAGCACTCAAGCCGCGAACCCCAGAGGGAAGGATGATTCAGCCTTCCTCACTGCCCTCTCTCACCAAACTGCTGCCCCAGCTTGTCGTCCTCCACCCCGCCCTGGCCACCTGCACCGCCGGGTCCTCGGTCAGGCACTGTGGACCTCTCACCTGGCCTCTGGCTCCCCTTCCCCGGCTCTGTGACCTCTCTGCTCCTGTCTAGTCTTCGTGACCTTGTATTCAGTTCTTTCACTTATGTCAAAACCTTCCGCAGGTCTCCAGCACCTCCCCAGGTATTAGCTCCTTCCCTGGCAACGCCCTCCAGCACGTGAGCCCAGAGCTCCTCCTGCGCACGCTCCGACCAAACAGCGCCTGGCTACCCTCATAAACACTGCGCACTGCTTCCAGCTTTCCTTCTGCTGTGTGGAGGGTCAGGGTCTTGCCTCTGACTGGAACCCCACTTCCTCCAACGGAAATGATAACCATCCTTCAAGGCGCAACCCAAATGACTACCAAATTTCACGCAGGCTTTTCCAGGTAGGTTGGACGTGTTCCCTTCTTCCCGTGAATCCCAGGAGACTTCCTCTCCATTTCTCTTACAGCACGAAAGTAACTGTTCCATGTCGGGGCCAGACACGTGTGTCCTATCACTTCTGTCACACCCCCGAATGGGACTAGGTATCATTCCTTCAGCCCATACTCCTCCTCCTCATCGGCCCTCCCTGCTCCCCAACACCACCCAACACAGTACCCCGAAATGAACTTGATTTACAAGACAGTCGTACATGTTGACTTGAACAGCAGGAACAGATGTTCCAAAAGCCATGGCAATAGCTGATCTGTTCTTATCTGCATCTTGTATTGTTTCAGTGATTAGTTTAACTTTTTTTTTTTAAGATGACTTTGAGTGGCTAAAACTCAGGGAATGTAATTTTCCAAAACTCTGTATAAGCAATCCGGCTGACATTTCTTCTCAAGTCTGTCACTTCCCAAAGAAGAAGTAGGGATTTCTAGCGCAGGTACAGAAACTAAGGCCAAGTACCACAGACGAGAAATCAACCCCTCTGTGGACTACTCCAATGACAGCAACCCGGAATCCCCGGCTCTGATGCTAGATCTACAACACCCAGAAATTTGTCCCATATGTTTCCATAAAATGGATTTTTCCTTCACTTTCTACTAAACCTGAGTTCAATAAAAAAGCCATCATTATACAACTCCCATGCAGAAAGTCATTATGGTGAGGTGAGAGAGAGAAATAATGGCGGCTTCCCGCCTTGATAAGCCCATAGTATAGCAGGAGGCAGGCAATTCCTACCTAATTACTACGTAAGGCAGACTGAGGTAAGTGCTCTAATAGAGGGACCTGCAAAGTCTAACAAGTGAGAGGCAAGACAAACCCTACGGGGGGCGGGGGGGTATACACAGATTGTATATAAAAGGACTTATGGCCGAGCAAGGTGGTGGAGGATGGGCTTTAAAGAGACAAGGAGCCTGCAAGTAAAGGGGATAGAAAAACCAAAGACTCTGCTCTGAGAAAGTTCTATGTATATTGGAGGAGCACAGGGAAGTCCTGTGTGCTTGGAATGTAGGGTATAAGCCATGGGAAGTCACTCAAGTTTGTTTTTGTTTTTGTGGAGAGTGGGACATAGTGACATGATTGTAGTTCCAATTAAAAAACCACTGGCAGCACTCTGTAGAATAAATCAGAAGGAGAGAAACTGAAAGAAGAGAAGCCAGTTGGGAAGCATGGGTTAAAATAGGAAGCCCAAGTAGAAATGGGAAGAAATATGTGAGAGTCACTAATAAGTAGAACCTATAGGATTTGGAACAGATGTAGCTATGGGAGGCAAGGCACAGGGAGAATAAGACACTTGACTTCAAGTTCTCAAACCTGAGCAACTGCGGATCCTCCTCATTGAGGGGCATGTAGGCTGAAGAGCAGGTCTGGTGAGCTGTGAAGAGGTTGGGGGAGACAAAAAACTTGTGATGCTCAAGGACTTCCAGAGGAAGAAGATATTTGAGAGTTAGGCTGGTTACATTCACTGGAGGCCAGTGTCGGGGCTAGATTTCGAAATCACCCATATGGCAACGACAGCTTATGTGATGGGATGAAACGAAACCATCAAGGCCGAGTAACATGAGAAGGCAGCTGAAGGGGGACCACTACAGAGATGGTCCACGAAGGAAAGGACAGAAGCAGTGGAGACTGGGAAGGACAGTCAAGGTGGCAGAATAACACAAAAACCAGGACTTGCTAGAACGGGGTGCTCCAAACCGCTGAATGCTGGGGGAAGAGCAAACAGAATGAAGACTGAAGTGAGCCGTTAGATTTGGCCAGTAAGAGGGCCTCAGTTCCGGGAAGGTACCTACAGTAAAGCCGGACACTGAAATGGGTTGGAGGAATGAATAAACTGGAGATGAGAGCAGACTAGCTTGTTCTTTCCAGAAGTGTGGATGGAGGCGAGAGATGGGCCAGTAGTTTATTTTATTTTTTTTAAAGATTTTATTTACTTACTTGACAGAGAGAGACACAGCAAGAGAGGGAACACAAGCAGGGGGAGTGGGAGACGGAGAGGGAGAAGCAGGCCCCCCCGTGGAGCAGGGAGCCCGATGTGGGGCTCCATCCCAGGACCCCGGGATCATGACCTGAGCCGAAGGCAGACGCTTAACGACTGAGCCACCCAGGTGCCCCGGATCAGTAGTTTAGAGAAAACTGGTCTAATACTTTTTAGGGGAGTAAACCCTAAAAGAGACAAAAGATGGCAGAGAAAGGGGATCTTACAGGAGATGGACTGGGGCCTCTGCTCCTTCAAACCTGCTGTGTGAGCCATTCTTCAAATTTCTGCTAATTTGGGGCCAGAAACGCAAAGCCCAAGATAGAACATGTTCCCTAACTGAAATTTCGTGGATTAGACTTACATTCTCACTTTCATAAATATTCCAAAGATGTGTTCTTATAAAACTCTTTTTGCCCTAATCATTAAAGAAATTGTTTAGTACTAAAATAGGTTTTACATCACACATTTAATCAGAAACTGAGAAAAGGCTGAAAATGTGTTCAACTCTATATCATTACATTTGTTTTAAGCATTACATTTGAATCTGTAATCAACACATGACTCATGAGGAATACTTCATAAATTTCTCTAGACCTCCAGTCTTTGTATAATTGTCCCTTCCATCAACTGTGAATTTCCTTTGCCCGGAACAACTCCTGATGAAATTTGGGAAGAGAGAAACCTTGTCTCACCAGAAAAAAAAAAAAAAAAAAAAAAAAAAATCCCAGGCCCTTATTGCCAGAAAACCTAAAAGACAGCCTCGGGGAGAAGGGCTATATTACAAATGATCTCCTTCAGTCCACGCAGCGGCATACTCATCCTAGACTCAAAGTAAAGGCATATATATATATATATATATATATGTATACACACACACACATATTTTCTTTTTTTAAGAATTATTTCCTTGCTTTCCCCTTAGCAGGTGCTTGCCTCCAAGTCTGTTTAGAGCCGAGCAGAGGAGAAGGAGAGGGGAGAGAGGATGCAAGCAAGGCCTGGTGGCAAAAGGAAGGCGCCCACAGTCCGCCTCCCTGCCTCGTGCCTTTAAAGAGGACGCGCCAAGGCCAGGGGCGCGCTGGGGGAGGGAGAACACAGACCACCCTGGGTGACGCTTCAGTCACCTGGGGCGGGCCATCCCATACAGACTAGCAGAGGAGAGGCCTGCTCCTCCTGGGAACGTTTCAATCACCTTTAATAAACACCCTGGCACACACAGGATGCCGGGAAGCACAGAGTAGAGAGTAAATGAAAGGGGAGACACCCGAGAGCCTCCAGGCGCTGGGGAGAACCCTGGAATTTACCAGACTGTGGGCCAAGGGAAAGGCGTATCTTGTGAGGGTCTCAAACATGTCCCTTCTGCTGTGGCCTTCCTGTTTCAGCGCGAACCTCAGGTTTCTCATGTCCTGGGGGGTGGGGAGCAGAGAAATTTGACAGTTCAGTCTTCAAATAAAGTGACATTCCTTAGCAAAAAAAAAATCTCTTCAACTAAAGGAGTGGAAGATTCACTTACCTGAAAGGGCAGTTAATCTAGATTACTAAGAAAATCACTTTGTTTTGTGTGACATTTTGAAATATCCAGTTAAGAATACCTCAAAATACTCTCATCGTAGGCACGAATGTAAAGACAAAGCAACCAGTGCTAAAGAGAAGACAGAGCTAAAGTCATTTTATAACAAGAAAAATCAAACCTTGCCTTGCACACCATCTACGGTGTCTCTTTACTTCAACCGGTTTCTGCAGTATTTTGCCTATAAAAGAGTATTTTATTCACAGAACTTTTCAAATGTGTACCTGCTATCACATGTGAGCTCAAAATTGTCAAACATGTCATGAAAATACGGAAGCTCTCTCCCTCTCCCTCATGCTCCTTTCAAGTCTCATTCTAACAAATCAGGAAATGATTGGCACTTTAAGCTCTCATACAAGTAATGGAACATATTCTTCCCATCAAGTTGACTTGCACAGTGTTCTACATAGACCACAGTTAAGTACCCCTGTGCTTTCAGGAACTAAACATTAACGCTCGAAACTGGATTTTAAAAGGGGCTTTGAATACGTATCTTTTTGCTAAGCAAGAAAACCTTCTCAAACACCGAAACCAAACCAAAAAAGCTCCCTTAAATATCAAGTTTTATTAGCTATCAAATATATAACATTCTGTCTTACTTTCAAAGCTAGAGTTGTTTCAGTTGTCTCCTAAATCAATCATTGTGCTGTGACCGAGTGGCTGAGCACTCAAAACACCAATTCAATTCAGAAAAACGAGAGCCCCGTGCCGGACCCTGGGGGGACGTTAGGAGGCAGAGAGCTGAGCTGGTCCCTGCCCTCCTGGATGTCACATGGATCTTTACATTCTTTCCAAGTGCTTTTTCATTTAGTATCTCAGGCGCACACTTAAAGCTTCCTAAGTCTTTGGCATGAAGGACTAGCAAAAGCCTTGCCATTTACAGGACATCCCACAATGCCACTGGCAGAGGAGGTGGTATAAAGAACTAGACCCAAAGACCTCTACTGAGTGACCCAAGACTGCTCACTCTCTATACAGATGGCATCTACTGGGCCTTGCCAGCTCTAGGATTCTGTGCTTACACTTTTTAAAAGCACAGAACTGAATAAAATCCAAAACCCAATTCACAACATATTCCAAGAAAACTGGGATATTAGTTATTGGCTCATGATGCAAAGCAGTAGTCAAATAAAAGGGAATAATCATTTCAATGAGATGACATGCCTCGAAAGGGTTTACAACCGAGCCATGAGCACAGCACTGGATAGCCGAGGATCTGTGGGGCTCAAAGACCTGTGCAGAACTTTCCTCCTAACAGCCTGGGGTCAGCTGATAACTCCGTAACATCACTGTTCTTAACCACTTGGCCAGAATTTAGATCATTTCTAGATAACCATTTATTTTGATCCATCAGTGATTCCAACAACTACTTTCTGTGTGCCAAAGCACAAGTGATTCAAGCAACTTCTTGTTGCCATCTGATTCAGATGTAATTAAAGGACAGAAAAAATTACTACCTCATCTTGCCAACAAGAAAATTGAAACAGAAAAGGCAAATGACTCACAGGCGGCAGCTCACCAAATCTACAACAGAAATATGAGCATATCCTAAGTGGTAAGTTCCACCTGGTCTCCTTGGAGGCTGAGTCGTCAGGGGAGGGCCCCTGAGAAAGAGCCTTGTGGCAGAAGAGCCTCACAGCCCCCCTCGGCCTGTCTGATCACTGGGTCACATGGCGATGCACCAAGCCTCGCTATAATAAATGAGTCCGAGTAAACACACCCCAGTGCAACAATACCGAAGGGCTGATTTATGGAGACATCATTTCTATAACCCATCTCTAGAGAAACAACACCCATTGCTGCTGACCTCAAAATACCACAGTCTTTAAAACGAGTAAACAGGGGTGAGGCATGGAAGGAGAGAGGAGGTTTTGCAGTGGTTAATTAAGGCTTGGCTTTGGCTTTTTTTTTTTTTTGTAAGGCTCCGAGTTGTCAGCAGGGGCTGATGGGGTGCCTGGGGGTAAAAATTCACATATTCAGAGCTACCTTCTCCTCTGCTGCTAGACAACATCCACTGGGACTTACATCCCCCAGGTGAAAGATGCTACAGGCAAGCAGAAATCCCTGTGCACAGAGCTGGTAGGACCAAATCTGTAGGGCTTAGAACGACCGGTCTCCCTAGAGCAACACTGGGGCTGACCTACAAGACGGGAGAGTCCATCTCTCCCCCACCACAGCAGGTTCCCTTTCTATCACCTTCCGGTCTGTTCCTGAGAACGTGGGACTTGACTCTCCATAACTCGCAGTTCTCAGGGAGATAACGGAATGAAGAGGCTGAGCTACAGCACTGTTCTAGGCCATTATCTTTGGGCTCAATGCGAATTCCAAGAAATCTAGATATGTGTAACATTTGGGAGTGATGCCTGGTGAGTTGTCCCTAAGCACCCTGTTTTTATAATAAACAGTCAAAGGGTAAGAATGCGCTTTATTTTATTAACTCTGGCGGGGGGGACTGATATTTAAATACAAATTCTTCCTATTGACAAGGCAACAAAGAGGACTTTAAAAAATTCTATTAGAACTAAAGTCACTTTCCAAGTCATCAATATGAGCAACCCAATTTTCCCTTGAGTACTGTAATATAACACTCTACTCCCATGGATCCTTTTATGCAAAAGGCAAAAACACCTCCTTAAAAGTAAATCCCTGTATTTCTAGGCCCCAAAGTGAAGACAGTAGCTGGGATCATACATAAGGCATTTAAGGTAGCTTGGATTAAAACAAAAACCAAAAGAAGCCAAGGTGGGCAGTGATGGAGAATTTCAGTTCAGGCCTAATGACCACACAATCATTTGGTTTGTGATAGAGTGTACTAGTTAGTCTTCATCTTCTATAAACTGGAGACAATAAAGCAAACATACCATATTCATAACCAAAATACAATTATAGGAGATTAGTTTTAAGAAATCACAGTGCCTGAGCAAAGGTCACATCTCCCAGATCTAGCTGTGAGAAGCAATGGAACAGATGAGCTCCAAGCCCCTTCGAGCTCTTTCTGGGATTGGACATTACTCTATTCTATTATTATTCTATTTGGATTGTAACCATCTGACACTTAATACCTGGAAAGGAAGTTTTCTTGCCAGAAGGTTTAGCCTGTTGTCTGCAAAACGATCATCTCACTGTATCTGGATCCCAACCTTGCCATTTGTTGGGTAATCTTAGCTCAGTGACCTAACTCTTCTTAGGCTCAAGGCTTTGTAATGGTAAAATGGAGACGCCACTGTCCATCTCAGAGGGTTGCCCTGAGGACTGGACGCAAAGCACCTAGCATGTGTCTGCACCGACAGAGATGCTCAATAAACAGTTATTATTACAGCTGGGTAAATGTTATTAACATTAAATCTCTGCCACCCACCATGCCAAAGTAAAATGTTAGGCAAAATGTTACCTCTGAAAACTAAGCAAAAGTTACAAAGGTTGCTAGAGGCACATCCTGTTCACAGAGGGTAAAATCTCTCACATTTCTCTTTCCTTTCACGGTGTGAAGATGTCTAGCTGGTAACACATCACATAAAGGGACACTAGGAGCAGATTCAGACAAAAACTAAAAAGTGTGAAAATTCTATCTATAAAGTTTTCTTCCTATCCAGTCAAGCTGACAGAAGGACAGGTCTGAGTCCTCACAGGTCTCTTTAATAGGAACTATTTCCCCAGGAGGTTTTGGAAGCCTGATCACAAGGGAAGAACCATTCTTGGGCCTTAGATGAAATAGGGTCTTTGATTTTATTTATTTTTTTTGGTAAACCCCCACTAACTGTTACTCAGTATTCAACACTAATGTGTCTTTTTTCACGGAAGAAAGTACTGAATCTCTTACTTTACAAGTAATATCTAGACCATAGGAATTTTCTCCTCTACTTGTCGCGCCTCCCATTTTTTCAATTCTGGAGATCACACCCAGAGGAACATCAAGTATTAGAGCAGAATCCTGTAATGGACAGAAATGCAAAAGTCAGTATTTCTGTATCATTAAAACATAAAAACACTTTTAAAAAACCATATGCTTTAGGGCACTTTTACTTTGGCCCTTTTTGCCACTTTCTATGAACGAAAATATGATACAGATCACACATAAAAGAGCAAGCATTACAGTAGCCAGTTAGGCAGCCAAAATGCATCCCCAAACATTTGCCATTCTGCAGTGCCTACAGAATAAAGACGAAACTCCTAGGGACACAATTCAAGGGCCCCGTGGTGTCGCTTCCAGCTGGTCTCTGCAGGCTTTTCTCCCACACCAGTCTGCACTCCAAACCACGTGAAAACCTTCACCATTCCTCAAGCACGATCTACAGTCAGGCCTCTGTGCTTTGTGCATGGTGTTCCCTTTGTCCAGGATGATCTAGGTTTCCCCAACTACCAGATGTTTCCCCATGGCTTAAGCCCTGGCCCAACAAACGTCACCTCTAACAAAGCTCCGCTTCCTAAGTAGACAGAACCGAACTGACCACTCCTTCCTCTGAAGTTCTACAACGCTTGGTTCAGACTGCGGCTGCATGGCTTGTTTTACCCTGTCTGCCAGAAATGCGCAGGTCTATATTCCCCACACCAGAAACCAAACATCTGCAAGTAGCGCCTAGCTGAGGCCTGGGTGCGTCTCCCTCAGGAGAAGGGCCTGGATGCACAGCGATGCCGCTCTATCATTCCTCATCCAATGCTGGGTGCACGGGGGCCGGCCGTACAAGTGCCGGCAAGCCAGAATCGCGTGCGTGACGTCACACCAGTCATCACGAGCTGTCAGCAGCCACGACATACGGAGTCAGTTGTCTGTGCCAGGCGCTGCAGTGGGGGCTCTGCACGCCTCATCTTTCTGATTTTATCCTCCCAACCATTCCGGATGCTGGTGTAGTATTCCCGTTTCCTGACGTGGCAATCAAGGCTTTCAAGAGCTTCCGTAACTTGCTTGGTAAATATGGGGAAGGTTTGAGATTTGAGCCAAGGTCTGGGAACACACATCAAAAGAGCCAAATGGTCCTACCCTTTTGCCTCCATAACTGCATTCTTAAGGGCTTATCTTACAGCTACTGCACAACAGGACGAACAGTTACATGTGTGAAGATGCTCCGTGGAGCCAGAGGGGGACGTCAGGGTGGAGAAAATGACCGTGAGTCAACTTGAAGGACTAAGCATGCAGCTCTGTAAAGAATTACAGTACATGGAAAAACAAGCTTAAGTGGAAAAAAGCAGCATACAAACTACACTGACTACAGTAAGATATATATTCATGTGGCCAAAGATAGGGAGGCCTACAGAAATTTGTTTAAGTCCAATATTTTCTTGAGTGCTGTGATAACTTTGATAATAAAGAAAATATTTTAAAGCTGTTTATTGAAGTTTTGTCCTTTAGAAGATGTTTCTTGTGGGGGATACAAATAAAGCTTAAGTTTTACCTGAAATCCTTCTCCTTTGTACAATACAAAAACTAAGCATTTCTTTATAGAATATAAATATAGCTCATGGGTATTCTAGAAATTCAAAAAGTCTAAGAATGGGGTGCATCCATGCCGTGGAATACTACTCAGCTACAAAAAAACAAGGAACTATGGATGCACACAACGACGTGGAAGGCTCTTAAAGGCCTCATGCTGAGTAGTAGATAAGGCCACTTTCAAAAGATCACGTACTGCAGGGAGTCCATTTATGACATTTTGGAAGTGACAAAATTATAGAGATGGAGAACAGAGAAATGGTTGCCAGGGGTGCGGGAAAAGAGGGTGTGACTATAAACGGGCAGCAACAGTTGCAGATTTTGATTGCTAGTGCGTGGTTCCATGACTTTATACATGGGATCAAATGTCACAGAATTATATACAGAAACCTATGAAAAAGTGAGTGCATGAAACACTGGTGAAGTTCAAGTACAGTCAGAGTCTTAGTGAACTGTATGGTGCCATACATTTCCTGGGTTTGATCAAGCAATACAGTTATTGGAGAAGCTAGGTAATGCACTAGTTTTCCAAGTTCTTGAGCGTCCATAATTATTTCAAAATAAAAAGCTGAAGAAAGTGTGAGGGCACGGTTATCATGGTGTCAAACGGAGTTTTGACATTTATTAGCTGGATACCTTGCCCAAGTTACTGTACCTCTTCAGCCACATTTACCTGTAAAGTAGGGATGATTAAAGATCACGGACTTAAGCACCTGGCATGGTGCCTGTCACATGGTAGCTAGGAAACAGTGGAATTTATTATTGTTATTTATTATTATTTATTATTGTTATCACAAAGAATATCTTAGCATTTGGAAGACGTAACCGTGCTCTAGAAATGTAGCGGATCTTGCAAGCGGCCACATACAGGTCTTTGTCTTTGTACCCATAAGGAGGCATTTTTTAGTTGTTGCCATGGGGTGAGACACCTCCCATGACTAAAATCCAAATGCCTAGAGAAAAAAAAGACACTCCTCAGTAACTGTGTACGTTCACGGCTGCATATTATAACATGTTTACTTCTCAATACAATCTAGTTATTAAAAACATACCATCAGGAAAGCTGTTCTGTTTGGATTGAGATTTAGGAGTGTCCGAGTGTATTTCTAAATGTCAAACTTATACCTAAAAACACATAGATGAGACACTAAATAAAAGTCTGATACTCTAAGATCAACATGGAAGCAAGAATGTAAACAAAACAGATGAGACCTTACTGTTCTTTGTCCTTGTATAGAGGAAATTCTATAGCTCTGATTACCCTGATCCAACACAAAACAGAAAATGGGACAACTGAGGAGAACCAGCCAGTTCCTGACCATAGGCGCCCACAGTTTAATGAGGCTACTCGCCATGTTCTCCCCGAATGACAGGTTCAAGATCAGATAACCCAGCAGGCCAAACTGGAAGATCCAGAAATAGGAAAATTAACTCTGTAGAAACCTGAGTTGTTACTATCTGAGTATTATTAAATATTTAAGAGTTCTCAAAGGTCCATTCTAACTCAAAATTCTGTACCTCTAAGGATCTAAAATAGTTGAGAAGTAAACAGAACAATCTAAAAAAGATGCATTCATTTACCATCTCTCTCTTGAGTGCATACTGAGTAGCAGAAACCGTACTGGACGCTAGGAACCACAGAGATAAATAAGATGCAAGTGTTGCCCTGATGGCAGATAGGACACATGTGCCCAAAGAGCCATGATGCCATCACAGGAAGACAAAACCCACGTCCAGACTAATGGGATGAGAGGTCAGAAGAGGGCAGAACAATTTCCTATTGACCGGGTCTCATGAAGGTTCTGTGCAATGGCAATGTTAAAGCTGATCCTTATAGGATGGAATAACAGCAGATGTAGATTTACCTTCCAGACACAAGTTAACAGTGACATCAGCTACACGTGTGGAAAAGTATGGGGATTTTATATATAAAAAACAAAACAAAACAAAAGACAAGTGGATCAGGTTTAAAATAGGACGGCAGGGGAATTCCCCGGGGAGCACCCCAGGGCTGGGATCAGGGTGACTGAGGTCCGTGGAATGTGTTTCCAGAAGAGGAGCACGGCGACAGAGCGGTGCTTTTTTAAGGTTCCTTTGGCAGTCCTGAGCACTGTGCAGCAGCAAGGAAGGGACTACGCCCATTCCTTGGGACCCTGGAAGCTAATGATTTAGGGCAAGTTGAGAGGGTAGGAGAACCCGAGAGTGGAGTGACCTAGATGGGAAGCAAAAGAAGGAGACAAGGAGCCACTGGGGAAGCATCGGCAATGACTCAGATTTAGACCCAGACGAGATGTGAAGAACCCAGAAAGGGGTTTTGGAGAAAGATTAACACTGTCCCTTTGAGATACACACCGGTGTGGAGGTTATGATAAATCAATCAAGTACAGATAACCAGGAGGCAGCTGGAATTACAGAACTGGGAGAGAGATTCCAAAGGCCCCTCAAACTCAAAACGCCCACAACGAACCACATGATGTTTCTCTCTCCAAATTCCGTCTTCCTATCTCAGTGGCTGGTGCTCCATCTGCCCAGTTACAAAAGCTGGAAACCTAGGAGTCCTCCTTGACGTCCCCTTCCTTGTTATCCCTCATCCAGTCTTGCACATTTACCTCTTAAATCAGTCTTGAACCTGTCAAGCCCTCTCCAACTTCTCCGGACCACTGGAACAAGCATAGCGGTCTCTTTGATTGGACTGTTGCTTCCCCAGAGCCTGCCTTCCACACAGCAGCATAGGTGATCGCTGGCAAAAGTCACCCTGATGCTATCATTCCTTTGCTTAAATCATGTCCAAAACTTCTCACTGCTCAACTCCAAACACCTCCATCCTGAAAGGGTGTACAAGGCCTTAGTCATCTGGCCCCACCCCCCTCTCCCTCCTGTCATTCGTCGCCTTTCTCCTGGCCCCCAAACCCAGCCACCACTGGCTCGTCCTTTCACGTTCCCCTTGGTCTCAGTGCCTCTCGCTGTTCCCTCAGCTGATTCTCCCCACCCAGCTCCTGCCAAGCATCTAGGTAATTCCTATTCATTCTTCAGACCAGGGGTCAAACATCATTTTCTCAGGACAATTTCCCAGGCTCCTCAAACAGCTACACTCCTATACCACTTGCTCCTGGGCTACTCACGCTCGGCACAACTTGTTGTTATATACCCGGCGTGATTATCTGATCAGTGTCTGTCGGTCCCATCAGAACGAAAGCTTCATGAAGGAGAGACCATGTCTGCCGTGCACACCACTAGATCCGAGCGCCTGGCACAGTGCTCGGCACACAGCGGCCTCTCAAATGGTCAACGAGTAAAGAATGAAATGAAGTTTGGTAAAGAAAGAGGATGGTACTATTGGGGAGGGGGGTAGCAGGGATCCAAGACACAGAGACTTGAGCAGGTCTGCAGGGCGGGGTGGGGACAAAAGAGCCAATGGAAATCACAGATGGAAGATGCAGAATGACCGAAGGGGCACTACGGCTCTGAAGGAAGTAAGAGAGGAAAGGAGACAAGGCTCAAGT